GAACAACTGAATGACTGAACCTGCCGCCCTGGACCTAGGCCGAAGTGATATACCGGCCTGGGTCCAGTAGCGGAATAACCTGGTACCGGACCAGGGTCAGGCCGGCGGCCTGAAACTGGTCCGGCCTCACTGCCGGGCCGGAGGGATACCGCTCCATTTCTGTTCCTGGACGTTTACTCCCAAGAGTCCCAACACCCGCTCTTACTTTGGGTGAAATACACCCCCTAATTTCGTTCCCGGGTTGAATTGTTGAGGGGTTCCCGGCCTCATTTTAATTGTCTCCCTTCTTTTATACCCAAAAAAAAAAAAAAAAAAAAAAAAACACCACGCCTTCCGTCCTCGAAGAATCTGAAAAAATACGAGAACGTTCCAAAAAACTCAATGCATGCTTGCACTTTTGACCTTTCCCACTGAGCTCTGGATGTGATCGCGGTCAGAAGCATACAGCTCTGGCCGCAATTGCCGTCAGATACATTTACGAAAGTGCTTGTGTGATAATGACCTCACAGGCAACCCAGAAAAAAAGCTCACTACCTCTTGTGTGATAATGACCTCACAGGCAACCCAGAAAAAAAACTCACTACCTCTTGTGTGATAATGACCTCACAGGCAACCCAGAAAAAAAACTCACTACCGAGCTAATCAACCGCTTCACACCACTGCCGCTAGCAACCATCGCATATGACCAACCGGACCTCGTGCGCTGGCAGTACAACCCTGCAAAAACTGGTGCCATATCCACTAGATTATTCCTTTTCCTTCTCTCTACTATTGCCGTACCCTCAACCTCTTCAACCATAAATGCTACAAGCCTGCACATAATATAATATCCATTATAGCCCTACTTCTGGTGCATCACTCTACTACCCTCTCTCTCTCTCTCTCTCTCTCTCTCTCACACACACACACACACACACACACACACACACACCTACCGTCCTACGTGTGTGTGTACGGAGGTGTGTGTGGGTGTGTGGGTGTGTGGGTGTGTGTGAGAGAGAGAGAGCGAGTGCGTAGGTGTGTGTGTGTGAGAGAGAGAGAGAGCGAGTGCGTAGGTGTGTGTGTGTTAGAGAGAGAGAGAGAGAGAGAGAGAGAGAGAGAGAGAGAGAGAGAGCGAGTGCGTAGTGGGGTGTGTGTGTGTGTGTGTTAGAGAGAGAGAGAGAGAGAGAGAGAGAGAGAGAGAGAGAGAGAGAGAGAGAGAGAATGCGTAGGTGTGTGTGTGTGTGTGTGTGTGTGTGTGTGTGCGTGTGTGAGAGAGAGAGAGAGAGAGAGAGAGAGAGAGAGAGAGAGAGACGCACACGCACACACAAACACACACGCAGAGGCTATGCACATTGCACAGTCATGCGAAATCAGTGCGAGTGACAAATGGCCGTCTCTTGTGTGTCCACTCCAGAGGGTATGATGAATTTGCAGAGAGATGGAGGATGTTAGAAAAGCCATCAAGGCATGACCGGCATTACTGAAAGGGTTTAAGGGTGAACAAGGCCATTTACCCTGGTCACTGGACACCTGTCTCTGGAACCCTTTATCACCGCCAGGAAGTATATCACGAATCCTCTGAGTCTCTGACCATAGGGAGCTCGTTGAATCAGCCTCGGGAATTTTTTTGACCTAGAAGAAATGAACTGAATCGCAGAAAAAAAAAGAAAAATAAATAAAAATTGTTGCTTACTTTCTGTCCTCGACTAGAGTCTACAATGGAGCAACAAACGAAAATGCACCTGCCCTTCAGTTTCTTTCTTTTTTTTTTTTTTTTTCCCGTTTCGGAAAAACCTGGAAATAAAGGTAACGACGAAAGTCCTCACACATACCTTTCCCCAAGTTCCTTATCCGTTTGGCGAGAACAAATATATATACAGGATAATACAGCCCCTCGTTTGTTGTCCTCTTCTCTCTCTGCCTACGGTTTACTGGGCAGTTCTGTTTGTGACGATATATATATATATATTTGCAAGTTTGGCTAAAAATAGATGAGACTCATCAGATGACAGAGTGGTAAGCGTTTATCTGAGTTTTCGGCATTTGGCTAAAAATATATCAGAAGTGCAGTACATGTTGTGATCCGCGGGTGCGTCGGGCTGCAAATGATATTCACGATAGGGGTCAACTGCGGGCGAGATCTCACTACCGTCTTGCCCCGAACATAACGCACCCTAAAAATGAATGTATACAAGCTATATTTCCGGCCAGATACAGCCAAAATGAGGGTGCGTTGTGTTCAGGGAAAGACGGTACCAAACAGGATTGCATTTAGCGCCTGAGAGAGGCTGAGACCGTGTGTGTTCTACAATCAATTTGGTTCAATTACGATTGTCTGTGCTGCTTCAAAGAAAATCCCAGATTCTTCAGCAGCCAATGGAATTGAATCCGCTCCTTTTTGATAGTGGGACCTCGCACCGGGAAAGCTTGCTTGCTCGACCCTTGGAGCCTTGTCTGGCGCAGCCCAACAAACAAGAAAACGAAAAACACGACGAAAACCTAAGCTACTGTATTCCGTGGAGACACGCAAACATGCCATGGCCAGGCACTCCCTCTCTCTCTCTCCACACACACGTGCATGTGTGTGTTTCCCTCTCTCTCTCTCTCTCTCTCTCTCTCTCTCTCTCTCTCTCTCTCTCTCTCTCTCTCTTACACACACACACACACACACACACACACACACACACAGCATCACGAACAGACATATGGAATCACAAACACGCGCACAGACAGACGTGAGCACAGGATCACTCTGGCGGCACCTCGCTCTCTGCCGGGAGCGTAGCCATGGCGGTTACCCTCTCCTCTACAGATTTTCGTTTCCTCATCCTCGCTTCCTTACCATTCGCTGTAGACATCGTTTGCTCCTCCCCCACCTCTCTATTTGCCGCAAGCGGCACCACAGCTGACAGCGTTTTCTGTTTTCCTCCGTTCTTACACATACTCTGAAGCAGCATGTTGCAGTCCGGCTCTCTCAGACAAGCAGCCATTGATGCTATAACAAATGGACTGCAGCCAGCCCGGCCCAGCTGTCATTGCGATGACGGAGCTGCTGACACGTGGCACGTGAAAGGTGGGAAGCTCCCATTCTCCCTTTCTCCCTGCAGCCAGCATGTCACGTCGATCAACGCTCAACTTGGCCCAACATCGTTCACTACCCTGTACTCAATCCTCCCTTTTTTTTTTTTTTTTTTTAAAACGTCAGCTCCGACGTACTACTAGCTCCATCCTGCTAATCACATCCAGGCAGGTGTAGGGTAGGCCTCGGGGAGTTGGGGGGAGGACTTTAACCTGAGCCAGCCAGCTGTCTCCTCCGGACAGGGAAACAGTGAAACACGGCCACGCTCTTGTCGAAGTGCATCCTCCATTCGGTCCCTCTCCTCGGAACTGCCTAGCGTCTTCCCCCGAATATAACGCGCGATCATAGTATGATTCGTTTCGGGATTTCGGCCCATTTCCTGTCTATAAACAGGATTAACGACCGTGCGTTCTACTTGGTGGGAGCCTCAGGCAGTAGAGTTGATACGGCTGACAACTGAAAAGTGACAGGCCGCCAAAGTTCCCTTCCTCCCTGCAGCGTCTTCCTTTCATCATCACCTTCATTGACTCTCGACTTGTCTCTACATCAGCAACAGTCACTCTCTTTCTCTCTCTCTCTCTCTCTCTCTCTCTCTCTCTCTCTCTCTCTCTCTCTCTCTTCCATTAACTCTTAACGTGTTCCGACATGGGCAACAGTTACTCTTCTTTTTCTTAGTCAGTCAAACAACTCTCTCTCTCTCTCTCTCTCTCTCTCTCTCTCTCTCTCTCTCTCTCTCTCTCTCTCATCACATTAACTCGTAACTTGTTCCGACATGAGCAACAGTTACTCTTCTTTTACTGAGTCAGTGAGACAACTCTCTCTCTCCNTAACTCGTAACTTGTTCCGACATGAGCAACAGTTACTCTTCTTTTACTGAGTCAGTGAGACAACTCTCTCTCTCTCTCTCTCTCTCTCTCTCTCTCTCTCTCTCTCTCTCTCTCTCTCTCTCTCTCTCTCTCTTCCGCCAGCTGTCATGACCTCCATTAACCCTCTCAACGTTGACCGACAAGATCAACTCCTCTTTTGCTTACGCAGTCACCCACGTCATCATATCCCGGTTGGGTACGTCTCGGGTACGTCTACCGCGAACAAGCCACCTGTGGGCTCCAGGGGAATAACTGCATCGCTCTTGTCGAAGTGCATCACTCCATCAAACTGCCCGCTCAGCTGAGCATAGAAGTAGTGGGTGAGTCCCGCAGCGCTCGCCGCACGATATATCACGCCGATGGCGCGCTCGAGCCGGCGCTTGCGCAGATCTTCCGCCATCTCCTCGTTCTTGAGGTCTAGGAAGAAGACGGGGCACTCGATTGAATGGAAGAGCGCTTCGTAGCTCTCGGGCAACGCTGGCCGCACGATCTTCCGCTCCACCGGATCGCCCCAGTCCGACGCAGCAGCCACTGTTCCTTCATACGTGGTCAATCCAATCAAGTAAGAATTGTCAGAGTACCTCTCCTTAATCAGCTGACCTAGTGTAAGTTCCCCGCGCTTTGTCATCATCTCCATGAAGCGGCCATCACCCACGTGCCAATTGTGCGCCCAGATCACCGCTTTTGCAGGATGGTGCCCCTTTGCCGTCCGATGAGTCATCAACGCCTCCAGTGTTTCGAACATATGCCCTTCGCGCAAGTTCCAGCCGGCATCCCTCCCTTTGAACATCTCTCGGTAATATCGTTCCGCATTCAGCACAAGGCGGGCGTTCATCTCAGCATAGAAGAACCCCTCTTCGTCATTAATGAATCCGTCCGAACGTGCTTTGGCCATCGCCATGTCTCGCACCTCCATCAACTGCTTAATTGCTTCCTCTTCGCAGTTCTTGCTGGCGGCGTAATTAGTCAGAAGACCGTACTGTTGAGGGTCTTCATAGATCTCCTCGAAGCAGCCGTAGCATTGGCGCGCGCTCTTCCCCGCGTCGGGATCCACGCCATCTAGGTAGTTAATGACGGCCTCGATCGAGCGATACAGACTGTAGAGATCCAGACCGTAGAACCCGGCGCGCTTCTCCGCCTGCAGGGGGAGATTATGCGCGCGCAACCACTCGACAAAGCGGACCACGTCGGTGTTGCGCGACGTCCACGCGGGGAAGCGCTGGAAGTCCACCAGCGCCCGCTCCGCACACGTGTCCTTGCTCTGCTGCTGCACGTAGCGATGGACCCGATACGCGTCGGGCCAATCAGCCTCGACGGCCACCGTATTGAACCCTTTCTCCTCGATCAGCTGCTGAGTCAGCTCCGCGCGCGCGCGGTAAAACTGATGAGTGCCGTGTGTTGCCTCGCCTATCAAGACGATGGACGCATCTCCGATCTTATCCAGTACAGCACCATATCGTTTATCTTCTGCCACGTGGACAAGATCGACTAACTGGCGTCGAATCCTGTCCTCAATTCCAGGATCACTGCTGGTCACCGCAGGGTGAAAATCCATCTGAAAGTTTGTCCTCCTCGCTTCCGAAACAGCAAGTACAAAATTACCATCGTAAAAAATTGTTTCCCAACAGCAAATACATTTACCGCAGTAAGTGCCTACCACAGTAACTATGTTCCATCGTAGACACTGGCGCCAGCCACCCCTGAGCTTCCAATCAGCAAGTTCAGTTATCACAGTAAATGTTTTCAGTTAGCAGAGTAAATTGACCACAGTAAATTTCTTCAGTCAGCATAGTAAAGTTACCACAGTAAATGATTTCAGTTAGCAGAGTAAATTTACCGCAGTAAATTTCTTCGGTCACCAAAGTAAATTTACCACAGTAAATTTCTTCAGTCAGCAAAGTTACCACAAGAAATGTTTTCAGTCAGCAAAGTAAATTTACCACAGTAAGTGCCTTGAGTTACCACAGTAACTCTGTTCTATCTTGCACGCCGCTCTGCGGCCAATCACCCTTGAATGAGACCACGAGCACCTCAGGGGGCTAAAAAAAAAAAAAAACCTTGAACGGAATGGCAAACGGAAATGCTAACGGAATTCACAACCGGAATAGCAATGGAGTTCCAGAAAAAAAGAATTCACACTTCCCCTTGATAGAGATAGATAGAACGCTCTCAATCTGCTGCCACGTAAGCAGGATAATGACGCCAACTCACAACCGTGAAGTCAAAGCAACAGAGTTGAGGATCTGCTTCCTTGTGGCGCGTAATGGCTATGGCTGATGCCAAGTTTCGCGGATGAGTCGGCTTGATCGTTCAAGATTTTTCACTGCAGCAACAATTACTCCTGCTGCGAGATGTGGGCATACTCCCCGAAGAACCTCTTCAACTTCTCTGTGGAGGTAATTGCCGTCAGGTGCATCCCGCCGTGGTCGGAAAGGCGGCCGCATACATCCACGAAAGTCTCAGTGTGAGTACGCCCTCATTAAATAGCACTGGTGGGTGGATGTATGATTGATACCACGCTGTGCGTGGGGGCCCAGCCAGGAGGGCGGGCGTTCCGCCGAAGAAGACGACGCCCGACTGCCCCTGCCGCCCGAGACAAGGTACAGCGAGTGTGGAAGGGGAGAACGTCGAGTTTTTTTTTTTTTTTTTTTGCTCTATTCTTCTCTCAATTTCACCTCGCACTACCTACCTACCACCACTACTAATTGTAGGCATCCCCCCCCCCCCCCAAAAAAAAAAAAAAAAAAAAAGAAACTGTAGGCATACGGGGAACCCCGTAGCAGCCAGAAGCGTGTTCACGAGCGAACATGCGGGGGCTTCTCCGGACCTGCAGGTGGGCGTCCAGTTGGGATAATTGGTAGAAAGAGCCCACGCCAAAACAGTTCCGGTTATTTTCGATTATAGAAACATGCCGGTGTTTTCCTGAGTAGCAAGGATACTGTACGGTCACAGATTTGCTTTGCAATTTTTTCTTTCTTTTTGGGAAAAAAACAAAACAGTTCCGGTTACCGGCGACATCAGAGGGCCCGAAAAGTCACGGGAAGGGGCGGCGGCCGCCGGAGCGTTAGCGCTGCGCCGCTATTCAAATTTTTACCGCGAGCAGCGCTAGGGTGAAATTTACCGTTCCAGGCGTAGCAGCGTTAGGGCTAGCGACTCTCCCAGCCGCCGTGAGTGGAGGGAGGCGACGCGCCATCGATCGTTCTATCCCCATCGCCACTTTCGCCCTGCTAGGTCATGGGCTATGGCCTCTAACCCGCGAAAAAATGCTGTGGCCCCACCTCCCTCTTGACTGGGGGAGGGAGCGCCTTTGTGCTCCGGAGCCACGGCATCCTGCCAGCCCCGCATCACCTGTCACCATTCACCATTCACCATTCACCTTTCACCATCCACCATACACTATCAATTAGCTCGTTTCCAGTTACCTCTCACTCTCATTGACCGCCCATCTCTTGGGCCAATCGAGAAGCAAACCCGTCCTGGCCGCTGAAGGCGGCCAGGATGATTTACGCTGAACAAAGGTTACCACGATTGGTGAATTGTCACTGCAAGGCCGGGATGAACCATATGACTTGAGACTTGAGCGATCGGGAAACAGCAGCGGAGGTTCTATCCAGTGAAGACGGGCGGAAGCAGTGACACTGACGGCGGACCGGCACAGTCGAAGAGCAGGAACGACCGTGAGCCTCCCAAGCAGGGGGAAAGTCCAACACATGGCTGGCAGGGATCGTACGTCGTAGGACGAGAGAGATCGAGTAGACAATTGGCCGATGTTTTAATCAGGGAATACGGGCAGATACATCGTTGTCGACGACTGACCAATACAGTCGTTAGAACAAACAGACGTGGACATTGCGCACTGGGAGAATGCTCAGGAGGCGGACTCTGATTCATCTGTGACAAGAGGGAATAGCCTCTACATAGTTAGGAACCCTTTTCAACTAAGGACATCTTGCATCGTCGCAGCTGTGGCGATTGGGTGAATTTAGTCGGAAGGACGATGAAAATAATTCGCTTATATCGCGAACTTCGCACGAAGCTGATCTCCTCCTAGGACGAGCGAGGAATGTAACTTGGTGGTCGGTCGGACAAGCTGCAGCATTCAAGCCTCTCTTACCGCGTACGGTGCCTAGGTAACGCTCACTTTACCCAGGTTACTGTCGGTAGTACTTTCAAACCGCAGCAAGCTGAGACGTTGTCCGAGTAGTCGTGAATTGAAGAAGGCGACGGGCTGTAACACGCCCTACTCCTACGTGGTCGTGGCCCGCATCTGCTAGACAATGAGAACGGAGCCACGGATCCCCGACAACGTTATTCACACCGTCGCCATACATCCTTCTTTCCTCTACATCACACACACCCCTTGCCAACTTACCAATAAACGCTTCCTGGACGCTCCCAACGGCTAGGATATTGGTAATCCAACAAAATCAGCCAAGTATGTCGAATGACGGAGGGGGAAGAATTTAGAAGAATTCAAGTCTGAATAGTGGGGATCGATTGAACCTAGCCGGAGAGGAGAGTGAATGTTCAAATACGCTGAGAGATTCGGGCTAAGGTAATTCACTCGCGACAACATACCGACGAACTTTCGGTCATATCAAGATCTTAGGGACTGTAGCTTAGGGTAAGATACTAGGCGAGCACCGTTCTGCGTAGTGCTGTCAGACATCTTGGAGGTATAAAAGTAGGGCCGACAAAGGGTCAGGTACGCATTCACGAGGCAAGCCATGGACAATCTCTCAGGCCACAAGTTATCGTGTCGAAACCAGTCGGCCAACAGGAACATAAGGGGAACCGGACCGCTACAGGTGTAACACAAGTGTTCTCCAGAGAAATGTTGTTTTGATACGACTGCTTCGAGAGATGCTTCAAGAGTTGTTCTTTCAAGCTAGCCAGAATATTACTCGCTGACTCAGGTATAATTCCCATGCATTTGAACCTGCATACGAACACGAAAGAAGATTAATTACAAGCTTCTTTCTGTCGGAAGTGTTTAACGTCCTTCACTTCTTCCATTCTTAAATTAAGAGTCTTATCTCGTAATCTTATCAGGATATGGAAGAGGAAACTGGATTGGGGGAGGGGGGCATCGCTCAGATGGAAGAGTTCTCTTACGAAGAGAGAGCCAGAATATGGAATCTCTTCAACGACTGTTACCGTCAGATAATTCTTCCCTCCAGTCTCTGCACTGCCCAATTCACTAAGGTGATAAGGGAACCTGATCGTGTACGCCTGAAGATTGATCTTAGGATTTATGAGATTCAGGCCCAATGGTTAAGGGAACATGTCGTCATGGTTTTCTTCGGCCGGGCTGCAATTGATTTATCCTTGGATATCAAACGCCGGTCAATCTGTTCTTACGAGAACGGGTGGATCGGCATACCCATACTGGGGGTCAAACCCAAGCGTGGATTTTTCAGAAATGAAGGCAAGAATTTGATATCCTACGTGGCAAGCATGAAAGAAGTTGCAGAATAGATGTTGCGAATGAAGTCAGATGAAATAATGTTAGATGGAAAGAAATACACAATGCACTTCAAGCCTTAAATATCTGAGTCGGAACTCAAAGAATGGAGAGAAAAACTAAAAATTGACTCTTTCAGAGTGAGGTTTCTTCACATCCCTTTAGCTACGCTACCAATGCTCAAAGACGCTCTCGAGCTTGCTTTTGGGAAAGTAATTAAAAAAAATCAAGTCTCGAAAAAGTCGGAGGAACCAAAACTAGTAAGTGTGAGGTTCGACCTTGAACCGGCGACCAAAGCCTTGTATACCAGGTACTTAACTGTTGATTTGCCTCACAACGGCGGCACAGTCGAGATCGAAGTAGCCTCCCCGGACACTCCCTGGTGCTCAGAGTGAAAAGGTTTTTTTCACTCTGAATTTGACGATGAATGTCCTGCAAGGAATTAGAATTCGAACAGCCAGACAAAAAACCCGCAGTTTTGGAGAGTTCCCCCCCCCTTCCCTTTCCCTCCTCCCCCCCCCGCCCTCCCCCTCTCCCGCTGGTGCTGCAACAGGTGGCCATCACCCGACTCCAGGAAATCTGGGCAGGCCCCAGCAGCAACAACAACGAAGGGGATCAGGGAGCCAGAGTGGGCGGGGGAGAGGAGATCGGAACCAGGACTGTCACGCCTCTCAACAGGAAGACATGCGATAGAGTAGTGGGGGAAGCAGGTTAAGCCTTCGCTCCTCACCTCCCTCTGAGCACGTAGAACTGTATGAAAAACCTTGTGACCCAGATTTTGATCATCCGTCTGACAGATCCTTTTTACAGGAAGGACGTAGGAGCAGGGTGAGCGGTATATCGTTATCCGGTTCGGAAGCCTCTAATCTCTACATCAGACGACGACCAGAGGGAGTCAGGCACATGAATCCACACGCCTTTCCCTCCAGATATGACAATGCGGTTTTCTCTGGTGGAAACAGCTCCCTCGTCCCATTTGATGAATGGCAACACGCAGAAACCTCGGAAGGTTAAGATGGCTCCAAATCGAGAGGCTGGAACAATGACCTTTCTCTCTGGAACCCTTATTCGGTGCTATAACAACCCCTGCAAATCACGGCGGGTTCAGACACAGAAGTCGATCCCCTGTTTAATAGGCAGGTTGACACCAAAGACTTGCCAATTCCAGCTCCTGAGGA